ATCTATAAGTATCGATAAAGCAAAAGTTAAGGCTGAGAAAGTAGGATCAAAGTCAAACCCTTATATAAAGAAGGAAGCTATCTAAAGAGATGATAGTAAAGAGAAGATTATAGCTAAAAAGATTAAGGCTAAAATTAGAATTATCCTAATATTTAAAGAAGACAAACCAATAGTATAGTAAAGTATTGTTAAGAAGGAATCGATTATATTTGAGATGAATATATGCTAGACTAATTATAGTCTTGAGAGAAAGCAAAGTCATTAGGATATATTAGGGTTTGAAGATAATCAAATAAAAGAGAATTTTAATATATTAGATATAATCAATATAGATTAAGTATGATTAGATAAAAACAACCAAGTTACTAGCTATTTCTTTAGATATAGTTTAAAGTAGTCTCTTCTTTAGCCTCTGATTCAACATTAAGGCTAGTTAACTTTATTTCATTTTATTCAAAGAATTACCGAATATATTGTTTGCCTCCTAACGTTGATAAGAGAAATATAAGCTTTAGCTAAGCTTTTTAGTCAATATACTATCATAATTTATACTATAAAATATTATACTAAAGAAAGTATAAGTTATCTTATTAATCTTTAAGGATCTATAATAGAATTCTACCAAAAGTCTTAGAGATATAGTCATAGATTTACTTTATACTAGATAAAAGATACTAATCAAGGTCAATATTGTCTTAGTCAACAATATTCTTAAGAGATCTCTATCGCTCAAAGTTTAATAAGACTTTATAGTCTCTTACTTTAACGGGATTAGGCGTATGATAAAGTATATAAGGAATCTTAGAAACAATATACTCTTTATAAGTTTGTTTATAGATAGGATGAATATTCTAAAGCTATATAAACCTAGCAAAGTCTAAACAAAGCTATAATATATAGATATATAGTAAGGTAACTTAATCAGCTAAGTTACTAGTAGAGAAGAGATTATTTTCTGATAGTTAAAGAAAGTATTTCTTTTTACTTATTAGTATACTATCTTATAGCTTTGTAAAAGACAGTACTTATATGCCAAAAGAGTATATACCCTTCATATAACTGGCCCCACTAGCTTTCAATCTTGATATTTTATATACTCTTTCTATATATCTAGCAATCTTTGAAAGAGACTATAGATAAAGATAAAGAGTTTAAGTCATTATCTAGAGACTTAATTGAAGGAGATCTAGTTGAATACTCTTCTATAGACGATTATATATTATCGAAAGAAGATGGTTAAAGCTGTTGAAATCAGATTAGCCTTAGTTTAGTAGATATAAGCTAGTAATAAGCTCCTACTATAAGTAGTGTTTCTTTTCCTTAATCTACTTGAATTCAAGCAGATATAAAGCTATACTGACTAGTAACATTAATATACTAAGCCAAAACAGATTATATAGTTAAAGTAGATACTCCTACATAAAACTATATAATATATCGAGAATATACATTAATTCTAGCATAGATCTTGATTCCCTAGTATTATAATTTACAATATCTATCAATTAACTAAATATAGTTTGGTTCATCATAGATCTAACCTATATAGCGTTGATAAGCCTTCTGTCGACGTTATTTAATCTTGTTTGGATAGAATTTGCGGTAAATCGTCTATAAAGAATCTTGTAGAATGTTGAATAGTTGTTGTTAAATATATATATAAAGATAAGTTCTTCCTATATTATATACTAGGTTATCTTAAGTTGATTTAGTCTTAAAATAGTATCGTACTTTAATGATCATCGATTAAAAAGCTTCTAAATCATTATATCGATAGAATATACCTACTTATTTTCGGATCTAGAAAATACTATGAAGAGATACTATATACTCTTTGTTATAAAGGTATATAAATAGTTGTTAATCTAATAAACCAAATTTATAGAACATCGATATCACCTTATCTTATAATTTAGAAGATAGCTTTATATGCTTTTGACGCCTAAGCCTTCATTGCTAAATTTGGCATATCAAGGTATATTTTTAGAAGTTTACTAATATAAGAGTCTGAATATATTTATATACTTTAATAATTGTTTGACTATTTTTTAATAGACTTTTTATAATATCTTGATATTGATCAAGATTGATTGACGGATGGCTAGATATAATCAATATTGATTTGCCAAAAATAAGCTTATATAAAGTTATAGATTTAGACTTAAGAAAAGATTTTATAGGTAAAGATTATTAAAAATGGCTTATATAACGAAATAGCGGTATATAGGCACATATATTATAGTATAAGTTAGTATAGAGCCGTTTTAAAGAGTATAAGAATGGTATTTTCCTAGCGTAAGGGTATCATCTAAAGTATAATACCATAAAGGTAAGCAAAGGAAGCAAAAAAGCAAGATTCCCTCCAACAAGTATATTTATTATGGCAGAAGTTTATATTAGGCCAACCAAAACCAATAAGGTTATATACTAGGCTGAATGAAGCTAAACGAAGACATATAGAATCGTATAGAATCAAAATGTTATTATAACGAAAGGATGTTAACCAAATGGTTATATACCGGCTTATAGAGGCTTAGTACTCATCTATACGGTTATCTATATCGTCGTATACGATTACTCGTTATAGCGCATCGTCAACTCATACTTTATAGCATTTTATAAAGCCTAAAGAGTATTATTACTTATAAGACTAAGGAAGTTGGTCTCTGAAGAAGTCTATATAGTTAGAATAGGAGACTATATAAGCTTAATCTTTTTAGAAGGAAAGTTATACTTAAGAAGAGACTTTAGATTATCGTTATCATAAGTATATTTAAAAGACTTTATAGTAGGCTTGAATATAGTCAAGACTATATAAGTTAGTATAGATTTATATACTATTATAGAAACTATATTAACTTATAAAAGCATCTTTTAGCCTATGAACGAAACTGACAGTAGGTATATACACTACCCTAAGTATAACCAGTGTCGCTTACATATATATGAAAAGGATTATCAACACATATATTTCTACAGTTATTATAGTAATCTATACCAATATATATAAGGTCGAACCTAGTTTATATTAGCTTATACGATCTTATATTAGACTATAAGAGTTCTTACGCCAAATATCTAGCATAGGCAGACATATACTGCTGACGATCTTTCTTGATCGAGGGTATAGTAACGTAACCATCCTTATCAACTATAGACTTAAGATCAATCTTATATATAAGAATCTATATAAGCTTAATCAATATTATACTAAAGAAACCGAATGATAAAAGTATATATATACTGCCAATATTAAGCAAAATCTTCTATATATCTTTATATAAGCTTTTTATAATGTTTTTAAGCACTCAACTGGTCACTATAGCCTTATCTTTAGACTGTTTGTTAGGATTAGTAGACAAAACGATCTCTTTACTATTATATATAAATATCATTTCCTCAACAGAGTCGATCTTAGCTATATTAAGCTATAAAGCTTCAATACAAGCCTCCTCAACCGTATATAAGGGCTTATTCTGCTCCTTACGACTCTTATTATCTACAGCAGCCTCTGCAGCCTTATGTACAGCTGTCTTATAAGCCATCGTACTGGTACTAGTCTATACTAGCTAGTATAAAGCTATAAGAGATAATGCTAGGCTAACTTAAGCCTTCTTGACTGCTTGACGGATGAAGAGTATATAGACACGTAAAAGCCTAGAGGAGATCTATATAACCACATACAGATCTAACAGTAAGTAAACCTATAGAGAAGTCAGTATATATATATAGAATGCTATAGGATACTACAAAATATGCCAAAAAAGGCCTTTTTGCCTACTAAAATCAGGTAACTCAATTTTGACGCAAATCTGACCGAGAAAAATCATTTTTATAGTATATATAATCTTACGAAAAAGAATATCGTATCCATACGATCATAACTGTATATGCTGGTGAGATATGGGTGAGGGAAGGCTGTACTTACTTTGTTGGTGGTTG